AAGGACGCGTCAATCAGAAGTCTCGGTGCATGGCTCGCAGACCTTCTTCAAACAGAATTCACTATGGTGTATCGAAGAACGCAGCTGCTAAGGACCGATCGGACAGAGCGCGCCGGTACCAATGCCAATCAGCAAGGTATTCAACAAACGAAACTTTACCCGGAAGACGGTCATCGAAGCATATAGTACCAACGGTTTGCGCTTGCCGACCGCACAACCTTTCAGTTCGTTGGTGACAGTAAGGTCTCAAGTTTAAAAGAACCCGTTACTTCTGTCATTAGGCATTATGGAATCTGACTATTCGACAGGAAATTTCAATTGTCACTTTCGGGGGTGACATACTGCATCGTCTCATCAAATGACACTGTGTAATTGCACATGCGGAAAAATGAAGCATTCGATCGAGTACCAGTGAACTCTCCCCGAAACGTGCCCTTTGGACTGTTTCATCACCGCGTTACCTGCATCCTGCTTGACACGTTAAGACAGGTCAGCGACAGAGCACGCGCATGAATGTCGATCTCCCTCACTGTCGAGACATTCGTTCAGAAAACGTCGAAAACACTGAAGACTTGTCTCCAATTGCGACTAACCAAAACTATCAAGCACCAGCAAAACGAACAACTCGACGGTACTGTAGGAAGGTGGCGACAATGCTAATCGAGACCTCTGACGTTTCCTATCCATAAAAAAAACTCAGGTCACACGAATGTCACGTCACGCGTCTCAAGCGCGCGGCAATGTTTTCGGTGCACAGAAACAAAAGCGTACCAATCAGGTGACCGTCAGGTACGTCCAGCGGTTTCTTAAAAATCAATAAAGAAATATATTTTGAGCGAAGTATACATGAATTAGTGCTGCCAGATAAAAATTGGCAAACAATCAGCGGAGATACATCAAGGTCTTACGTAGTGAATATGAAATACAGTCAATGCACGCTACATTTCCGAAAATACAAACTGTACCGGGACAACCCCAGCCAGCTCGTTTTGTCCTGCGAGACAAGTGTGTTTCTTGAAATTTGTCGCTCTATCCACAGTTGGAGATGACACCGTGCAGCTCACTACTAGCGTAACTGAGCACACGTGCCGCACCGATGCGAGGCATCGCTGATTCCAGTGCCGAAAAGCACATCTTTCACGAAAAACCGTGGTGCATTTCGGCCAACGGTACTGGCTGGATTCAGTTCTACTTTAGTGCGTCGAGTTTCTTTGCCGGCCATAAAACAACAGGTCGTCGACGTGCTTGATCTGTAACAACATCTGCTTATAAGAAAGGGAGTTGTTACGAATGAAGACACTTGAAAAGCTACCCTTGCTTTCAAAGACAGAGAAAATCCTCAGAGACGAATGATCGCAATGACGAACGGCAGTCGCAGGACCTAAAGGAACGTGGTGTTACACCGCCATGACGAGTTAACGAATGACGCGTACTGGTCATTTCTTGCCGGCAATGGTAAAAACTAAAAACATTTCGAACACTACTTTGGTTCAGTAATGTTGGCTAGTATGTATTTCAGCAAGTCGGACAGTTACTCATGCAATCATCATATGCGGACTGTTAGGCAAGGAAAGAATGGCTGCTGATGCATAAGAACAGAGTGGTAGAATGAACGTCAACATGTTTCCTGGCGGCATACGGACATTCATCAGTCGCTAGACAAAAAATAAGGCTCGGCAACACATAACGACTACTGATTAAACGTGTGCATGCCAACTTAACTCGGATAAAAATAGTATGACATTTAAATATTTTGTGACTTCATTTCAAGTAACAAGATTATAATGTAACGTATAGGGATGAAGCGACGGATGCGGATTCTCGGGTGCTTGAGTCTTCGCATCAAGCAGATTTACTGGAATTATCGGAATTCTCTGGCCATCTGTGGCGCAGGCCAGCGTTAAGTGTATGGATGTGAGAGACTGCCGTGACATTACGACCACTCCTTAACCGATCAGCTTGCAAATATTTCATTATTCCGCTGTTTTAAACTCTCTGAACCACGTAAAACAACTTTTTAGAAAGTAAATACTCTGTTCGACTGACACACCACCGACTGAAGTACGTCCGTGCTTCACATGGCTTCTTTACCATGGAGTTTGGTTTGCTGGGGTCGTTGCTGGCTGGCATTGGTCGCAAAAAAGCAAATACACGCGGTCACTAAGCAACTAATCTGCTGACTTCTGGAAACGGTACCCGGTAGCGGGAGGTTTCAAACTAATAATGAGGTCTGTTAAAGCATAAAGTCGTAGTCGCGCGCGCAATCGTTTTATTCCAGATCACTCGCTGGGCCGGAGCCGAAAGTAGTTTTGGAAAGACTATCTGTCATCTTAATTATCGATTTGACTTCATGATTCGGAAGCAACCGCAACGGTCTGAAAGTTTTCAGCAACGTGTTCTGCTGTTCGTCTGTGCAACTGTCGTTAGAGAGACCAGTAATGACAGTTTTGTTCATAAATTCATTTTCTTCTCGTTTTAATATCATCTATTTCTTTTACTAATGCTGAAATACACCACTCCTTGTTTTTCTAACGGTGCAGAAGCGGCAAAATTTCTGTTTCTATCTTCTAGGAAAACATCTGTTCTGTGGATGATTATAACAACACAACGTAGACATTCCGTCAACTGTCAGTATTATGTCATGTCGTTTGGCCGACAAATGCACGCAGCCGCCTGCGCAATAGATTATAAGAATAGAGTTCATCACTGCTTGCACAACATGTCAGCGGCATCAAAAACACGATCAAGATTATAGGTTCTACCGAGCGATTGTCAGGTTCTATCCAGTGTCACTTTTAGCCTTCCTCCTTGAACAATTTTGCCTTGGCAAGACAACTACGTTCCGCCCCGTTTCATGGTTTGTCGTTCATGCAGCTAGTGCTGGGTCGAGAACCGTTTGGCTGACCACAAGCTGTCCGCGTTTGCTTGACACCGGAGACAGTTTCAGCTGACCAAATACGGATTCGGTTTTTGTTTGCTTTGCGCGCTGTTTTTGATGTTATACACAAATGACACATAAACAAACTAACAAGCCGTTTGGCACAAACGCACTCCGAGTCAAGTAAAGTCAAGTAATTTCGCTGGAGCTGGTTGGCAGGTCCAGTCCAGTCCTGGTCCCATTCTGTGAAATGGTTTTGCTGTGTAAAATTTTTTTCTCTATCGATCGGCAAAAAGAAATCTATAACTCGCTCGCATGACGCGACGGGGCTGCAGGGGGTTGCACAGTAATCTAGTGGCTTCAGCACAATCCAGATATAAATTTTTGCGATTTTTCGTCGCCGTTCACAAAAGGTGGGGAACCAACAATAACCCAACACTTAATTCAAAGATATCTGAGAACATTCATTTTCATCGTGCAACGCATGTAAGCAGAAACTGTGCGGAAGTAGCTCTAACTATTCCAAAGCCCAGCAACTTGCTTCATAAAACTTAGTAACAAAGTTGTTGACGCTGTTATGTAAAAGTCGTCAACGGCTACTAGAACAAAAACAGTAGAGTAACCCTGATTTGTCATGTCCTACCTTAAATGGTAATGGCATCTCAGAGTGATATCAGACGTTCACTGATGCGGAAAATGTCATGTTCCTGGCAGCCAGAACGTTTGCCTCACGTGTTCCGCTGTTTCGCACTGGCGATTCCCAGGTGAAAAATGTTTGAAAAGAACCCCATTCTCTATTACTGCCGTTTTATCCAACCAGTCCAGCGCCGGTTTCTGAGTTCATCCGACAGTTTCGCAGAATGCTGCTCGTCAGCACCTCCTCATTCGTGATCCGGTGGTACCATCGCATTTCATTAAATTTAAGGTCCGCAGAAATTTCGAGACTGTACGTGCCCATTCTTGTAGGCCGACCCCTCCATATGTTATACAGGTTGCCATAATTCACCGCTGCCCGTCCAGTTCGCCGCTCGACGTCAATACCAATGTCGCCATCGTTAGTCAATACACTTCCGAAGTACTTAAAATAGTTCACTTCGTCCATCGTAATACCATTCCATGATATCTTTGGACTGTCTGCCAATCGCGCGCGGCGGACGCTCTCTTCATCTTTCTTGAGTTCACTTGTAGCCATACTCTCATAAAAGTGTTATCGTGAGCCACACGCTTTCCGTCAGTGTCGGTAGACAACTTTACTCAGACTCATTCAGCAGCCGCCGGGTATGTCCAGCTGCATCGCTGACTAACCGCCAGTCCTTCCTTATTATCTGGGGCGACGCACTTCTGCATAACGAAGTTCGCCATGATGTTGAACAGCGAAAGAGAAAGCACGTCGTCTATATAAAATCGACTGGGAATGTCGAACCAGTCCAAGAGTGATCACTCGGTTTGGACAGCGCATTTAGTCCTCTCGTACGGACCTTCTATCGAGTTTACGCTCAACTGTGTAATCCCGCTGTGACAAATAACACGCCACATTGCCTGATCATGAACTGAATCGAAGGCTGTAAGGAGGCGCAGAAACGTCGAATTTC